CGCTGAGATACACGCGTGGCGAACAATTTAAAGAAGATGCAAGAATTCGGCCTGAAAAATCTATCTACTGAAATTAATAACTCTGTATCACAATCTGCATCAAAGAAGGGGGAAAATCAGCAAACAAGAAAACAAATAGTGAAGATTCAGATTCATCGGAGTATCTCCTTGAAGATGATGATCAAGGAGATAGTGATGATGATGACACTGAATCTGATGAGCAGCTACAACCCCTGGCAACTAAGGTGCTTCTTCTATCTTCAAAGTACTGGATGGGGAATATTTGCATTGCATTTGAATGTTTTTAATCTGTTCTTTAATATATGCCCTTGCTTTTAGATGCGTCTTGTTTCTTGCATACATGTTCTTTAATATATGGTCTTGCTTATTAATGCATATGACTTACTTGATTTTTTTTCCATAGTATCCTGCAGGGCATAGTCGGAAAGTCCTAACTTCAAAGAAGAAGAAGATAGGTCCCACCATGGCGCCAGGAGTTAGGGCTAGTAAGAGAGTGAGGGCATCTCAAGGATCACAGGTGCAACCTCCTGAATCCCAAACAAGATCATCAAAAAGGCTTCAACCTTCAGCGAGAGATGGCCAGAATGTAGAGGATCCTACAGATGGTCATGATGAAATACCACCACAAAGGTCTTATACAGATGCAGAGGAAGGCAATGGAGCTGGTGGTCAGGACAATACAGCTGTAGAGGAAGTCAGTGGAGCTGGTGCTCAAGACAGTACAGGTGCTGATGAAGACAATGTAGCTAGAGAGGAAGACACTGAAGGCAAGTTATAGTTTCTTTGTCATTCAAATATGTCATCTATTTTGCTTATCTGCATGAAACTAAATCATTTTAATGCAAATTCTATTTTGTAGCTCCTGCACAGCGAGCCCCAAGGAGACCCAGGCCACCCACCAAGGGAACACAGCTAGACAGGATGACAAAAGCTATGGGAAGGAGAATGCCCATAGCTGTTGCTGAAGGCAAAAGAAGGCCTCATGAACCTGTTCAAGCAGCCAAGTTTGCATCTGAGGCTGGTGTCATCATTCGGGATAAGGTTCCTGTCCTACCTCATTGGAAAGAATACAAGAGAGACGATCAATATTACAAAAACTTTGTGGGAAAGCTCTCTGTAAGTGCATTACTATTTCTACGGTTAACATGTATATCTGTTTAACCTTAATTGACTAATTAAATATGGAATTGTCATATGACTAGGGGCGCTTGGCCATTAACCCTGACGACAAGCCAACAGAGGAAGCTTGCACCGATATGCTGCGCTCTAGGGTGCGACAAATGCGTTATCGGCTCAAGAATAAATACTTCAATGGTGTACCTGCAAATGAGATTAGGACAACTTCTCCAGTTGCATGCATGACTGATGAACAGTGGAAGGCACTAGTTGCAAAGTGGTCTGATCCAAAAAGCATGGTATGGGTATCTTCTCATATATTCTTTCTCATTCAGTTTCCAAAGGATCTTCTCATTTTAAACATATCATCTCATCAATCCTTCTTGCTATACCCAGGCCCTTCAATGAAAAGCAGTGTAACACATAAATATTTTCAAACATAAAGATTCCCTAAACTCCTAAATTGGAGCAATTAGCAGAATGTACTTGGGAAAAAAGGGTTGGTCATATATATCCTGCAAACAAAAAGGATTACAAATATGCCCTTAAATATCAGTCCATTCATCAAAGGATAGAATAACATATTCTAAAGGACAAAATCATGAACAAAACAATAGAAAGGCAGTTCATGGTGAGCATTTAGACAATTTGAGATGTACATTTCATAGAAGTTGTATAGGGGCATAAAAGAGTAGACAACTCTGCAGAAGTTGAAAAATTACCATCTTACTGTTTTTCAGATAAATAGGTATCTTGTCATATATTCTTTCTCAATCAGTTTCCAAAGGATCTTCTCATTTTAAACCTATGATCTCATCTGATATGCTCATTATCTTGTAGGAATCAAGTGAAAAGAACAAGCAGAATCGTCGTAAAGTCAAGTATCATCAAGCTACGGGTTCTCGCAGCTATGTGGCACACTTACATGCATATGTAAGTAAAGAGTACCCTGTACATATTTGCACTAAACAACTTATTTTGCATTTCATGTGAGAAAACTTTGTTGTAATTGGTTATCTATGAAACAGAAGAAGAAGAAGAAAAACAATGCAGAACCAAGCACAGAACAAAATGAAAAACTTGATGCGGTGGAGGCCTTCAAGACCTGCCATACCAGCTCCAAACATGGTCTGACTGAACTAGCAAGAGAAGCAGTTGTAAGTCACGACATCTGTTTCGCTGTGCCAACAACTATTCATTAATTGGATAATATGTCTTGTTTCAAACATTTTGTATTCTGTCTTTTGCTCAAAACTGGTCATAATCCAATATAGCTAGACATACCTGCTAAATAATAATCCTATGTTGTTGACTTCTACTTGTATTCAGTTACCTGACAACAAGTAAATGACTCGTGATTGCATACCTATTTGGCATCAGATTCTATCAATGCAGCATAGGTTTTTATTTTTTAAAATACATCTTGTGTGATATTTCCTTCTCAAATTAATGCAATAAGTATCAACTAATGATGGGTCATTGTTGTTTCAGTCAAATATGGAAGCTTTTGAGGACGAAACTCATTCTTTGAAGGTGAGACAAAGAAGTGTCCATTAATGCGAGTTGTGTCCCGGTGCTCTCCTGTAACAGCTCAAACCTTTTCCTAAAGAGTGTTGGCATCAAACCAAAGCCATCCTCCAAATCATCATCATCAAATGAAAGCGAGCTTGGGGAGCAACTAGCAAATTAGCTACGGTACATTGTACAAAGGTGAAATCGATGAACTCAAGAGGAGAAGTGAAGAAGCCGAGGAAAAGTGGCGATGACACAAAAGGAGATGGAGGAGTACAAGAAGTCGGCGAGAGATAAACAACAAGGCAATGGAGGAGAACAATGCACGTTTGCTCAAGCGTATCTTGGCCATCAACAATGCTTCTTCGACATGAGCGCTGCTTTCGTAGTTCTTTGGTTCATTAAGCAAGAGGTCTGCTGGTGATTTTGTTTATGTAGTAACTTATGTTCTTTGGTGGTTGGCAACTTTTTATTATTTCTGTGATGTTAATGTGAACTGAGATGAAACTAGTAGTTCAAATGTGATGTCTAGTGAGTTATGTGAACTGAGTTTAGAATTATTGATTAAGTTGTTGGTCATTGGAATCTGGATCTATTAATTTATGGAAGCTTTTGGTCATTCCATTATTATTTGCATTCGTAATGAAATCAAAGATATGCACTTGTGATGAATTATCGACCTTTCTGTGATGATTTGGTAATTGATTACGTGACGAATTTCTATTTACTTGATGACGAAAATGAGAACCTATCACGCCAAGCCTTGTGGCCCAATAAAAGGGAACACGTGGACCATCCACATCATCGCCACGCGTCGGTACCGCCACGTGGTTGGACACGTCCACCTGCAATGTGGACGCCGCCACGTGGACAAGACACGCCACCTGCCAAGATGGCGACGTCGTCTGGCCGCCTAACGATGACGGCAAGTCATGACGAAAAAGGGGCTATATCAATGACAAAAATAGATCGTCATAGAAAGAATACACTTCTATGAGGACGGCCATTTCGTCATAGAACAAATGCACATCTATGACGAAAATAGACGTTTCGTCACGGTAGGTAAAATATGACGCGCATTCAATGACGAATACCATATTGTCACAAATTCGTCATAAAATAATATATGTGACGATTTTGGAGTCTTCAGTGACGAAAGAAGAGCATCATTGATGTACACATCCATAGTAGTGAAAGTAGCAATAGATGCAGCAACAAAAATCAGGGTGGTGCATGTCCAAAATGGCCCATACCTACAGAATATAAAAATGAAACAGAAGGCATAGCAGATCACATTGTTCTCTGTACTATTATCCCATTGTTAGTTACAAAGTTATTAAACTAGCATTCATATGTCCTAAATTGAAATTGTTGATAGTAGAATTGTTCTTTTCAGAAACAAGCATTCAATGCAACTTCACAGGCATATTCTACTTTGATGTAGATCCACCACAGGCGACCAGACACAACATAGAGAAACAACAATTTGATTGCAAATGAACATAATGCCTTCAAAAGGATGTCATAAATTTGTATTTCAACACAATAGCAAGTGTAAATACTAATAGCTAGTTCACACTTGCTATTTGCTGAAATAAACTCTGCAGAAACTCACGTAGAAAGGGCTCTGACATTGCAACCATCTTAAAATCTTAAAACAAACTCAAAGAATCATGCACTGCAGTTCCTCTCACTCGATCTACACCAGGCAAACCTGAAACCAGAGCCAAGCTATGCACCGACGTGCTGCAAAATTCAGACAACACAATGACTAATTGCTGAATGGAGCTGCAAAAGAACAGAGCTTGCATGTACTGAATACCTGGACTACCTGGCTGCAATTGTCAGCCTGCTGTTAGCAACAAGGCAAGGCAAGTGATATATGTGTTTCAGCTCATATATGTGTTTCAGCTCATATAAATGCAACAAGGCAAGTGAACTCATATGAAAGGGGTGCATAACTGCAAGAGTGTCATTGACACAACAAATTTGAGAGGCACGTTTTGCCAATTCCAATATTTCGACAAATTGATGGCATCTACAGTGAAAAGACGCATAAGAATTCCCAGGTAAATCTAATAACCAGTGTCATATAGTAAAATTAGGAGGCAGTATTAACCTACAGCTATAGCTCGTTCCCTGAAAACTAGAAAAAAAAAATCACCGGGGAGATCAATTCACCAGGACACATGGGGGCTGAATAGTACAGAGTTCATGACTAAGGCACTAAGCTGTGTGGATTTTCCAGTGCCAGTTACAGCTTACAGGCTAAAAGTCAGTCAGATCAAGGAAATCTACCACATCCAACGAATCCACTAAAAATCATCTACAGCGGGGTGAAAAGGGAAGAGTTAGGAAGAGAGACGGACCATTCGGGCTTGTTGCCAAGGTCGACGAGCTTCATCTCGTAGGGGACCTTCTTCTCCTCCAGTGTGAGCAGCACCCTCTGCGAGAACGGGCCTGCGCCTGAGCTGGCCAGAGCGGCCCTTGCGCGCTGCCGAAAACGACAGGGTTGACCCCAACGTTGAGCTGGCGTCTCCGGTGGTGCTTGCTGCTCCACCTCCACCGCGGTCGCCACTCCCACCGGCCGCCGTCGACAGCAGCACGAGCTTCGCCGTGGGTGGATCTCCACCGGTCACGCCGGGTCGCACGCGGGACCACGCCAAAACTGCTACACCAAACCGTGCGGCAGACCCCAAGCCGGCTTGGACTTGACGAGAAACGGAGTGGAGGCCGGCCCCAAGAACGGGACTTGCTCGGAGATGACCAAGGCCGGCCATGGCGACTCGCAGCCTCCGCAAGCCGGCGGCGATAGGAGATAGCCCGATCTACGACCATGAGGGGCGCATGAACGAGGAGCGCCGGATCCTTCGCTGGATCTGTCCCGTGGGGGAGATGAGGAAGACGAGAGGGGAGGGGACGGGAGGCGGCTGCTGAGAGGAGTGGCTGAGGGGTGTCTGGGAGAGGCGTCGGTGTGGGATCAGGCTAGGGTTTGGGTGTTATTTTATAGATCGGAGGATTGGTAGAGGTGGTTGGTGATTGAGCTGTCCCTATAAATAGTAATATCGGGGGCGGCTAGTGAGTGAGCCGTCCATACAAATCAGACTCATTTGTAGGGGCGGCTCGTATCACCAGCCGTCCCTGCTGTTCTATTTGTAGGGGCGGCTGGTATCTGGACTCCCGAGCACGTCACTGTAGGGGCGGCTCCATCACTAGCCGCCCCTACAAAAAAATTGTCCCGTTGCTACAAGCCATTTTTTACGTAGTAGATGGGGTATTTTGAACCGACAGTGATGGGGTATTCTGACGTAGTGTATGTCTGTTTTGTAAAAATAAACAAAGATAAAAACATTCAATTTAATGTAACAATTCTTTATTAGTTAGATGTATTAAACAATATATATCTCAAAAATCTAACCCGTGCGAGAGGGACTAGTGTTGCAAATGCAAATCCGTCCCAATAGCATATCGCACCTGGGCGAGAAGAGCGAAGCCTGGTTGTTGCAGTTGTGGGAACGTGCGTCGTCGGTAGAGTCAGCCGGTCATGTTGCGGTCATTCGACGGTGTCGCACGACCGGCACGGTGCGGCACCGTCGCATGCACCATATTTTTTTTTCCCATCGGCGCTGGGGCTGGCATATATCAGCGCGCATCGGTCGTCGACGTCCCAAATGGATATCCCATGCATGTCGCCCGTACGAAGACGAACTTGTTGTACTGCGTTCCTATCTGACGGATCACTGATGCATGCATGACCGTCCGCGCGCCCATCTATCAAAACCTCGTTTGATAGCGATGAACTGGCTTATTCTTCTGTCGACGAGTACGGCATGAAACAGGGGAGGAGGAGGATCGCGCCGGGCGGCCCTCCTGCAGGCTGCAGCTGTGCATTTCACAGGAGGACTGCACCGGCAAGATCAGGGCCGGACCAACGGTATCCATTGATTGAGTTGAGTGGGACAGTAGCTCGATCGGATAGAGGGACTACTGGCATGATTGTGGCTGCTCTTGCTCTAGAACTCTTATTAGTTCGTATCGGTACTTTGTACTATAAACCGCGCGCGGTGGTGCTGTGAGGACTCCGTCCATCGCTTTCAATTCGTACACGTTTTGCCAAGTATGGTCGATCGTGCGTGTCGACCCGATCGACCTGTGTGGTTGCGCGTCTCCTCATCAGTGACAGTGTGCTTGCCATCGAGAAAAGGTCACTTCTTTTCCGCCGTGCAAGGGAAGGGAGCGCATGCACTTTTCGTACCGCCGGGCATCGCACGATCGATATATGATCGAGCAACGCGCCAAGAATCCGACGCGCTCGCCGAGTGGGAAGAAGCTAAGCGTACGAAGTGCGACGTGATCGCCTGCACATGCACGCGGGCTCGCCTGCACAACCGGCCATTGGCCGGTCCGCGATCGCCTGCGTTATCTTGTGTTACCTACGTACGTAAAAGTACAATATATAAAGCCATCCATCGCGTGCACTTTTTTTGCCAACAAAGCGCGCGTACATATAGCTCAAATATATAAAACTACACATTGGTCCATGGAAAACGTTGCATGCATGCGGCCAAGGACGCGCCTACACGTGCACGTACTTTCCCGGCCGGCGTCATGCAGCATGGTAGGCCAAAACGCAGAACGGCATATCCGTGTCGTCTCCGTAGTGCACCAGATTCAGGCCGGCCGGGATCAGGCTGAAAAGCGCTAGATGCATCCAGCTACTTGCCTGATAAGGTCAGGTACCACCCATAGTGTGCGTGTGATTACATTACGCATTTTGCAGATTAAAGGCGCCTAAGCTTTGATGATTAGTTAAAGATGCCCGTAGACGAAAGTGGGCACTGCTGATCCAGGCAGGGACCATGTACTAATCAACCTAGTCACTCGCAAATGAGAGGTGGATGGGATATTGGGATCCATGTACTAATCCCTCTACGTTTTCGGCAATAGCATGAGCCAACATTAATTACACTATTAATCCTTTATTTGCATTGCCCGAGAGATATAATATGCCGTTGTGCACCATTATGATAATAGTGTTCATATGAATATCGTTGATGTTTGAACAATATATAGTATTATTATGTTGTCAATATAAATGGGATCATCTCCAGTAACATGCAACCTATCTGGTCAGGGTGGGCATAATTAACCGAAACCGAGAAACCGAACCGAAAGAACCGGAACCAAAAAAATTTGTTCCTTATTCGGTTCCAAATTTGGAGGAACCAAAATAACCGAGAAAATTTCGGTTCCTACTCTCGGATAACCGAATTAACCGAAAGAACTGAAATTCATAAATTATACTTCACTTACTTGTATTTTGCAAGACTATGTTTGATTTTTGTGTGATGTCTCATAATGAATTGCTATGTATTTGTGTTACTATATTGCTATTGGTCCCTTATCAATTATTATTATCAAAATTAGAGGTAGTGTTGCCTAAATTTTCTTTAAAACCTGCGTATTTTTTTTATTGTATTAACCTTTGCTGAAAAAATTCGGTTAGTTCAGTTAGAACCGGAACCGAACCGAAATAACAAAAAACCGAAATGCTCGGTTCCTAAATTTTTTTGGAACCGATCGGTTCCTATTTTCTAGGAACCGAATTTCATCAATAACTGAGGGAGCCGAACTGACTATCTGGTATGTTTTAGGTTTGATTTGGGATGGTCATGCTGGTTGGATCGTTATTAATCCTATCATCTAATAACCAGTGAGTACTACATATTTTGCCAAGTTGATATGCGTCAATTTGCTAAGTTGTTGCACTTGTTTGAGCAGTCACAAATTATTGGACCGATTTACACCCATCTGTCAAGTTGTTGTAAGTTTACTCCTTTTAAAATATGTCAAATCTTATATTACTATATTCAAACATTGGCGAGGTGTTTGGTTGCTAACCACACTTTAGCATAGGTAAGTTTGACCAAGTGTTGACAATTGTTTTGCTGGTAAATAAACTTAGACAAGATTCTCCTAAGCTCCACATGTCATAGAATAAAAAAAAAAGTAATGCGAGATTTCCTTAGACGTGACAAAATATGGATCAAAATTTTCCAGTCACGCTTTTTATAGCTTGCCACACTTACCTAAGGTTAGTCATGGCAAATTATGGTTGGTAACCAAACAACCCTAGTTTATTCAAAAGGACATTAATGATAAGATCTTAAATGTGTTGACCGCACGCAAAGAGGTAATTCAGCTGGTTGAGTTTATCATGGTGACACCTGTCTACTTGGATTTAAATCCTCGAATTGTCGCGGATCTTTGAAATTTTCCTAAAATTATTCTAAGATTTAATTCCATTTTTTTAGTCGTATGCGACTTTTTTAGTGGTATACGATGCAACGGGCCCATTCACACTGAGGCATGCACATGTATGGGTGTATGTATCGTATAACTAATCAAATGTTTTCGTACGGTATCATAATAGTAAATAACTCCTAAGACCAGTGCCCGGACATCCGTACAGGGGCTAGCGTTCAGACGCCCACGCCGCACGCCTACGTTGCTTCATGTGGGGGCAGCTTCATGTGGGGGCACACGCCGCTTCGTCTCGATCTACGCTCGCATGGTATCCCTCTCGCGCTCCCTCCACACCCACGCGAATGCAGGCGGGCCCAGCAGTTGATGTAGATGGGTCCCACCGCAACATGTGCAACACCATATCTATATTTACAACATCTAGAGGAAACATTTGCAACATACGTCCGAAACAGTTAAAACACTTGCAACATGCGTCTGAAACACTTGCAAAACACCAGAGAAAACTTAAAAACCACGTGTGTAGCCATTGCAAACATTTAGATGAAACCACTTGCTACATACGTATGAAAACATTTGAAACACTTGTGTGTGTATATATATATATATATATGTGTATATATATATATATATACAACATCCAGATCTACTTTTGCAACATTCAGATTAATCACTTGCAACATACGTCTAAAACAGATAAAATATTTCGAACCTATACTTGAAACATACGTACATAGCCATTGCAACATGTGCAACATCCCGATCTACTTTTACAACATCGATGTGAAACACTTGCAACACACCTCTGAAACACTTGAAACATACGCTTGCAACATGTGCTTTCCATCGCAATATCACCTTGCTGCTTGGACGAATGGAGACTCATCACTATGAAGCTCCACGCCGGTGTGGAGGTCGGCGACGGTGCATGGAGCTCGCCGGTGCCCCAGCGGAGGCACTGCAATGGGCGAGCACTGACACGAGGCCACAAGAGCAGCGCTGGGTGAGCAACTGGCGAGCAGGGCGGCCTGCTCGCGCGAATACCCCCTGCAGCACCGCTAGCGAGCGGCCAGTAGCCGACAAGCACCCCTGCCTGGCCAGCACGAGCACCACCTGCTACACTAGCAGTTGGTGAGCACCACCTGGCTGGCAAACACATGAGTTCGAGATGGGGAGGAGAGTCACAGGGTCCACAATGGAGAGATGAAGGAGAGAGAGAGAGGAGATGGAATCGGAAATGATAAGTCTGGCCACCTGAGAGGAGTAGATATATTTGTGTGGTGGGAAAATATGTGGACCACGTGATGCCACGTAGCGTCCGTTTGTCCGGGCACGGGACGGACGCCCACGGTGGAGCATTTCCGAAAGGGCTAGCATGGTTAGGAGTAATTAACCCAGATGCGATGTTGTTCAGATAGAATAGTCATGTGTGACTTAAAAAACAATGTACTCTTGTGTGATAGCAAAAGGATACGTACAGTATTCGTACAATATCACAATTAATATTACTAGTAAC